TGCTGATAAGGGTGTCGGGCTGCGGGCCCCTTCCTTTGTGAAAGGGACGGTTGCAGAAGACGGCGCCGCAATCCCTTCAGAAGCAGATGCCGGTGCGTCCTGTCGGTCCTGGCACCCCGTTTCCTCGATTATTGATGCCTTCGATCCTGCTCGCCGCCGAGCCCTTGCGTGCGAGAAACCCTAGGTGGCCTGCGGTGGCCCCAGCCGCGGCTCCATCCTGCCGCCCTATAAACCCTAAACCCTAAACCCTGAACCCTGAACCCTAAACCCTGAACCCTAAGCCCTAAACCCTAAACCCTAAACCCTAAACCCTAAACCCTAAACCCTAAGCCCTAAGCCCTAAGCCCTAAACCCTAACCCTAAACCCTAAACACTAAACCCTAATGCTGCCTTTATCTGGCACTCCAGCTCCTTCCGAGCCTGGCGGCGGCCAGATCCAAGACCCTGAGCCCTAAACGCCAAAATCCCAAACCTTAAGGCACACTCAACCCTCAACCCTAAACCCTAAACCCTAAACCCTAATCCCCAAACCCCAACCCCTAAACCCTAAACCCTAAACCCTAAACCCTAAACCCTAAACCCTAAACCACACTAAACCCCAAACCCCTTCACCCCTTGCAGTCCCAGTAGCTGCCGGCGCGTGTTGGGGTGGGACCAGCCCAAACCTGCGTTTGCAGAAACGAGGGTTTAGGGTTTAGGGTTAGGGTTTGGGGTTTGGGGTTTGGGGTTTGGGGTTTGGGGTTTAGGGTTTAGGGTTTAGGGTTTAGGGTTTAGGATTTAGGGTTTAGGGTTTCGGGTTTAGGGTTTAGGGTTTAGGGTTTCGGACGACGGGGTTCAGGGTTTTTTGAGCTCATGGGCTCGTTTAGAGGGTGTAGGGTTTGGGGCCTAGAAGGGTCAGGGTTTCGGGTTTTGGGTGTCGGGTTTCGGGTTTAGGGTATACGGTTTATGGTGTAGGGTTAAGGGTTAAGGGTTAAGGGTTAATGGTTTAATGGTTTAGGGCTTAGGGTTTCGGGTGCTACGTAGCCTGACGGCCGATAAGCCCTTTTCGGGGTTCGGCAGCTGTTGCGCGTCTACAAATTTCCGAAACCCTAAACCCTAAGGGCTAAACCCTAAACCATATATCCGCCGACCCCGCCTTTGGGGTCGAGCGCCCGGGAAGCCCCTTACACGGGAGGTAGTCCTGACGAACCCCCCCCCCCCCCCCCCACCCCCCCCCCCGACCTGACGACCCCTCCGCCCCCCGACCAGGGACCCCCCCCTCCCGGCCCCAAAAAACTCAAAAACACTTTTTTTGTCCTGTTCAGAACCGACGATTTGTGACCGCTAACCCACAAAAGCGCTCCGTGCGTGCTTGCAAACCCGTTCCTTGCTGGTGGCCCTGACCCCCTGCCCACCTGACCCTTACCCCCTACACCCCCCTTCTCCCCCACCCCCCGACCAGGTGACCCTCAAAAACACTTTTTTTGTCGACACAAAAACGCTCCTACCCCACCCCCCTCCTCTTCCGCCCCGGACCAGGGGACCCCCCCCCACCCGACGACCTTCCGCCCCCCGACCAGGGATTCCCCCTCCCGACCCCAACAAACTCAAAAACACTTTTTTTGTCGGGTTCAGAACCGACGACTTTTGGCCGCCAACCCACAAAAACGCTCCGTGCGTGCTTGCCCTGCCCCTACCCCCTACTCCTCCCGAGCCCGAAGTCCACCAACCCACATCCCCTACCCCCTGCCCACCTGACCCTTACCCCCTACCCCACCCCCCGACCAGGCGACCCGGACCCACCCGACCTGTCGACCCACACCCCCACCCCCTGCCCCCTGACCAGGTGTGATGAAACGTGTGCTCGCAACTGCCGCGAGCTATTTGCATACGCATTCCTGCGCCTGGTGGCGGGGCGTAAAACTACACGTGCTCATAGTACTGTGAGTACAGCATGATCGCTGACCCTCGGCTCCTGAGTCTAATTGGCTAATCAGAGACTTGCTAGTGGAAAACGTCGTCTGAGGCTTGGGCTTCCAAGCGATGGAGCAAAAGGCTCGCGACTTGTACTCCTCATTGGCACAGTGACCTCCGCCCCCATGTGAGCCATCGCAAACCTTGCTGCACGGACAAGGCAGCAACGCGGCAAGCACTCTTCTGCATTACAGTGCCCGGCATTGCCGTGCGGGCTACCCCATAGCACGAGCGAGAAGTGGCCCATCGGCACCTGGGGCACCTCAGACCGGGACAGTACTGACAAAGGTCAGCATAGCGCGTGCAATCCGCCTTGCACGTTGAGATGTCATAGCCATCGACGCCCTCAAAAGGCCGATCGTTCTCATCGAGGATGGCGCCCGCTGCTGCCAGTAAGAAGCAGTTCTTCGCCTCGCAGCAAACGTTCTGCATTACCAATCGCACTGAACATTTTCCCTCATCATTCTTTTGGCTCCGGGCATAGTTCTGATGCATGGGGCATGGCACCTCCTCATCCTGATGCGAGACGACTGATACACAGGCAACTAACCACACTGCAACACGAAGGGGAGCCTCGTCTGCACTCTCTGTTTCCTGGTGGGTCTTCTCTAGGAAGCCATGCACTAACACGACACAGAGCCAGCCTGAAGCCACCACTTCGGGACGGTTGCCGGCATCGCCCCAATGTCGCTGATGACAAGACGCTCCATGTTCCTGGTCAAGCCGAAGCCCCGAGGCCCCCGTGTGTACGTTACGCCTGTGACCGCATAGTACTAAGGCCGCAGCAGTACGGCTGTTCTCAGATCTTCAACAAACACAAGAATGTTCTGAGGCTTGACGGCTACGCAGAACGTGAAATTGGGATCTAGACTGTTGGGGTTTCCAGATTTCTTGCTTACGGTACTACTCTAAATCCCAAAGCTGGAGGTGTCGTACTGAAGTGCAAGGTCTGCAGAGATTGGCTAAGGAGAAAGAACTTCATTCCGCGAGTGACATGGCACGACACACTAGGCTCTGTTGATGCTAGCCAAGCACAAGTTTGCCTCAGACCTCACGCAATTGACCAACTAGCCCTCGGCCGTCGGCACCCTGAACAATTTTTGTGGGACGAATACCGTGCTTTGCAATCTCCCTCAGCCATTTTAAGTGCACGGTGCTCCTATATAATAAGGCAAACCCCTGCACTGCGAGGAGTCTTTTAATCGAAATCGGAAGCAAATCGTTCTTGAACTTGCCTGCTAAAAGTCTCTTACTTGCAGCCGAGAAGGTTCAGAAAGTACAGCATGCTGGCCAGCTCCTCGGTCTGCAGCTAACATTCCAGTTCCTATCATTGCTTTGCGCTGCCATCGAGACTCAGCCTCCAGAAGCATGCCCACCGTGCACTGGCGGGTTGCTCTTGTCCAGCCGGGCGCCACCAACTCGATGCGCCAATCAGCCTCACCACCAGCGCAGATATGATTGGGACAGGACAAATGCAAACTGTTTGCGTTGCATATAAGTCGCTGACATGTAGCATTTCTTCTGCCTCACTACCTCATAAAATTTCCAATCGTCACAGCAACAGCTGCCCATGATTCCTTTCACCAATCGTAGCTGCCATCGACACGATTGGTTTTGAATTGAAGAATGAGACCAGTGACATACATCCACTTCCACGGAGGCTCTAGGTTGGAATTAGCCGAGCACCAAAGCATGGATGTCGTACGTAAGGCTCCGGCTGGTGAAGAGCAAGAAGTCATTGCCTGGCAAGTGCCATTCAGAGATAACTGATTGTAACAAAATCCGCTTACTGATAACAATAGTATGCATGCCAGTGTCAAGATTCTTTTTGCGCTCCGCACCTTTCTCACGAAAACACATGGCTATGTCATGAAGCCAGAATCATGGCCAGGTCAAACAGATGTCTGTCGCCATTTTTATCGGGATGGCCTCGTAGCATCAACTTTTTTCGCATGCCAATCCCAGCGATTTGAGTTGTGCCAAAGACATGGCATTTCTGCCTTTTGACGAGAATCTGAGCTCCACATTGCTTCTGAAGCAGAAGTTTATCTTCTTTCCAAGCTGCAATCGGCAACATCTGTCCATTAATCATTTGGCCATGGAGCGAGCACAAGCTGTGGACCAAAGCCCACGCGCCTGTGCCTGAGGGGCCGAGCAGTGCTACTGGAAACCACCCACAAGCAGCATCGGCCGATAGCACCTTGGCATAAACAAAAAACTCAAAAACACTTTTTTTGTCGGGTTCAGAACCGACGATTTTTGACCGCCAACCAAAACGCTCCGTGCGTGCTTGCCCTGCCCCTACCCCCTTCTCCTCCCGAGCCCGAAGCCCACCACCCAAACCCCACCCCCCTCCCCTTCCGCCCCGGACAACACCCCCCCCCCACCCGGTGGCCCTTACCTTCTGATTTGACCCCCCCTTCTCCCCACCTCAAGACCAGGCGACCCTGACCCACCCGACCTGTCGACCCCCACCCCCAAAAAATTGTAAAAAGGATGGTTCTGAGGTGTGGCCCTAGGGCTATATCAGGGGTGGTTCTGAGACCTTGCCCTACCATATATAGCCACCTCATCCGTTCTCTCACCTTTCCCCCTGCTTCGTTTTCATCATAATCGTCACCTTATCCGTTATCATTGTTTTGTCCCGCTCTTTCGTTTCGTCTTCCACCCCATCATCAACATCGTCACCTCATCCGTTTCTCATCCCAATAAAAATTTAAGTATCTATAAATTCATTTATTTCATTTCTCAACATGCTCACCTAATCCACTTTCAACCTTCATCATATCACCTCACCCGTTTTCTGGGACTAGCCCACCTCAAAGACTTTACCAAAGATTTATAATAATTTATGGATATAGGATGTTGGGCGACTTCTTCAACTTCACCACCATCAGGAACTGGCGCGCCTTGCTCGCTTATTGATTGCTGTGACTGAAAGACAAGTTATGAAGATATGTCACACATTGGAAGCATCAACTTATTCTGCAGGCTTTTTTGTGCTTGAAGCTTGCCTGTTGCTGTAAGTAGTCTTTTAGACCCTAGCAATGGATGGATACAATCAGAAGCCCAATGAGAAGCTCAATGAGCTCCCGACCAAAGATGATGAGAAGCTCCCGACCAAAGATGATGAGAAGACCAATGAGCCCAAGCCCGGAGATGAGAAACTTCCGTCAGCTTCTTCTTCCGCTGTTGATAGTGCGATGATGCCAACAAAGACCACAAGCAGTTCCGAGAAGAAGGAGGCATGGAAAGTGTGGAAGTTTGACATTCAGAAGTTGCTCGCCAGCTTGAGCACCGAGACAAAGGCAACCCTTGACGGCTACGACAACCCAAAGGACCAGATTAAAGAGATCGAGACCGAGATTGAACGCTTGACCTCACATGTTCTCTATCTGGAGAAGAAGGAAGGCATCACAAAGGACATCGTGAAAAAATCCATCTTGGGTGAGAATGTGACCTTCTACATCCATTACAAGAAGAAGGAGAATGACCCCGACGTCGTCAAGTCCCTCACCTTTAACCCTGTGCTCAACAACTCCGCCAAGCTGAAGAGTGAGGCGTGTCGTCTCTTCAACTTCTTTGACGCCAAGGACCAGAAGAACCTACACCTTTTCTTCAAGGGCGTCCAACTTCCAAGCCAAGGACCAGCAAAGTTGAACGGCGATGCTTTCGCCAAAGTCGACATCATGTTGAAGGATGGCGATCATCTCCGTCTTGCGTGAGCGTTTCATTTCATGAGATGCTTGTGACATGAACTGTCGTGCGACAAAGTCTTCTTTTAGATAGGCTTTTGTGCGAGACTTGCTGACACCGAAGCGAACTGATAAAATCCAAGTGCTTAGACGGTCATATTTGCGACCTGAGCCTTGCAGACTTGTCAGCGACCTTGCTAATCCTTAGGCGTTTTGCTCAAAAGTAGTTTAGGACGCTTTACCCAACCTTTGCTCACAATGGTTCTCTTCGGTGGTCGTCGTCCTATCAATGTGATGTCCAAGAAGGAAGCATCAAAGGCTCTTGCTCAAAGGGCTAAGGCAAACATCAAGAAGAAGGACAAGTCAGACATCAATGAGCCTGACTTTGACATTCCGCGTGAGATTTGCTCTTTTATCAACCCCATCAAGGAGAAGATAAAAGCCGTTGAGTATGACATCAAAAACGACAAGCCCGTCATCAAGCCTACGATGGAAAAGATGAGCGACTCGGACATCCGAGAACTCAAGGGCATCTTTGAAGCAGACAAGGGACAGAACAAACGCATCAATACCGAAGACAAGTTGGTTGCTGGTGCTCATCTCACAATCAAAGAGATAAAGAAGATAGATGAAATTGTACCTCATCTACTACATCTTCGTGAGTGTTTGGTAGGGTCATTTGTAGAAGCCTATTCTGCTGAATACAGCATCAGCAAAGGCTCGGAGCGTGTCTTTTCTAATGAAGACTTTTTGAAAGACCTTGACCATATCATATCATACCGAAGTGGTCTTATGCGTGGTTCTGAAAGGTCTGACCTTGTACAGAATGAACCTCTTGTACAGTCTCAAGATAGTTGTTCAGTAATGTAGGACAACTTTTGAGTACTCCCAGTACTTTTATTCCAGAACCGTTAGAAAAATATTTTAGGACTGACAACCCCCAAATAAAGGTACTATCAGTACCCAAAAATAGGAACTATCAGTACCCAATTCTCGGTACTGTCAGTACTCAGTTCTCGGTACTATCAGTACTCAGTTCTCGGTACTGGGTACTGGTTCTGGGAATGCTCTTTCAGATGCCTTAAAAAAGGCATCTATCAGGGGATAGTCTAAAACCGTGCTTGATGACGCCAAGCAATGAACCTGATAATGCTGAAAGCCTGACGGGGTGAGGCAAAATGAAGCAGTCCGTGCGGTCGCCACTGATTGATTGCATCCTAAACCCTAAAACCCATAAATAAAAAATCAAAGCGTATAGTATTTGAAAAAATATTGGAGACTATAAATATATATGGAAATCCTATACAAAATACACCATAAATTGCGAAAAATATTAATATGATAGACCATAAACAAATAAAATCAATAATCCCCGACATACCCTATGGACTTTTGTAGAAAAATAAAGAAAAGCTTTACTAAAAACACGACAGGTCAAGAAGAACACGAACGACATTGTCGCCGAGAACTACGACGCAACGGTGCTTCCTTCCCCCGCTTGGTTTTTCGGTTTAGGCGTTCAGGGTTTTTTCAGGGTTGTTGTGGTTTAGTGTTCAGGGTTGTTGTGGCTTGGTTTAGGTTAGTGAGAAAGATTTTAAAAAAGGAGCGCACCCCATCTTTTTTTATTCTTTCGTTTCGTGATTTATTCCCCTGTGTGAAAAAGCGCTTCTTTTTTCATACATTTTATTTTTTGGGGATGGTTTAGGAATTTGGTTAAATGATGCTCCTGATGCTCTTGATGCTTCTGATGCTCCTGATGCTCGCGGTGCTCTTGGTGCCCAGCCCAGCCCCAGAACCAGCGCAACACCCAGCAACACCCGGCAACACCAAAACTACTTAAAGGGAAGCCACCTTATACCCTAATGGCAGACACAGGAGCCCTAAAAACCGCAATGCGATATGTATTAAATAGCAAAAAAGGCGAAATAAAAAAGACTAAAAAAGGAAAAGAATTAAAACAGATTATAATTGATGGAAAACAATATAAATATGACAAAGAAAAACCTTTTACAGGGAACTTAAAAAAGCAATTAAATAAAATTAGTAAAACACCTGATTTTAAACGTTTTGAGATTTTAGACAAAGCCAGTAAAGGGGTTATGGTTAGAAAGAATTTAAAACGATATGCTATATCAACGTTTGGAAAAAGAACTGATAATTTTAGTGCTTTAAAACGATATGCAAACACCTATTCTATCATAGATATTGACAAAGAAGGCTTTAAAGGTTTAGGGCACATTCATTATCAAAAATCACGATTAAAAGAGTTTTTAAACAAACATAAAAGTATGAAATTACTTATTGATGTTGAGTTTGTTTTAAAAAGTGTTGAAGAAGATGAAGAAATATTAACAACAATAAGAAGTAGAATGTATCCAATTTTAAATGAAGATGAATTAAACAAAGCAGTTAATAATGCAGGAAATGATATTCAAATTATTTTAGAAAATAAGCAACTGCAAAAGTCAGGATTAAGCATAAAGAAAGTTAATAAAATCACTATTCATTATGATAAATATGACCCAACAAGAGCAGGTCAATATATTGAATTACCGCGCTGGATTGCATTAAAAAAGGCGTGTATTAATATTAAAAATTATGATAACTTATGTTTTAAATATTGTGTATGGTGTAAGTTTCACGACATATATAAAAAAGACCATCCTGAACGATTATATCATTATAATAAGTATTTACAAAATGATAATTTCATTAAATGGGACGGTGTAGAGTTCCCAGCGTGTAATGATGATATAGATAAGTTTGAAGAAGTCAATGATAATACAAAATCAGTAAATGTTTATACAATTGATAGAGATGTAGATAAAATAAGAGTTGATAAAGTAACAAAAATAACAAACCCAGTATGTCATATTAATCTATTAAGACTTGATGAAGATAATAACAACCATTATGTTTTAATAAAAGAAAACAAATAACAGACAAAATAAATTCTTCCATTGTCAATATTGTCAAAAAGGTTTTAGTAAAGAAAACTTATTACAAGCTCATTTATTAAAAGGTTGTATGGCTAATGAGGTTCAAGCGATAGAGATGCCAGAAGAAAAAGAAAAAATGAGTTTTCAAAAGCATTACAAAAAACTTAAATGCCCATACGTTATTTATGGAGACTTTGAATGTTTAACTGCTTTAACGAAAGAAGGAATAAAGGGAACATATCAAAATCATAAACCATCAGGTTTTAGGTTAAACGTTGTTAATTCAATAACAGGAGAAGCTAAACCATATTTATATAGAGGTGAGGATTGTATGGATGTGTTTTGTGAAACTATGAACGAGATAAGAGAAGAAATATTTGATGTAATGAACAATCCAAAAGACATGGAGAAATTAACAGATGAAGAGGAAGAACGACACAGAAAAGCAAAGAAATGCTTTATTTGTAACGGTTGTTTTCAACCAAATGTAAAAGCTAAAACAAAAGTTAAAGACCATTGTCATTTTACTGGAAAATATAGAGGACCAGCACACCATAAATGTAATTTAGACTATTGTTTCAAATATTTTAAAATACCAATTTTCTTTCATAATCTTAAAAACTATGACGCTCATTTAGTTATATCTAATCTGAATAAGTTAAATACAGATAAAGACGAGGTAAATGTAATAGCACAAAACAGCGAGAAATTTATAACCTTTTGTCTCAAACAACTGGAGTTTAAGGATAGCTTTAGTTTCTTATCTTCATCATTGGATAAACTGGTTAAATTAACAAAATATGAGAATAATGAGAAGCGTGATAATTGGACACAACATTTTAAATACAGTAAAATAAGTGAATATGTTAAAGATGATTATGATTTAGATTTATTAACCGATAAGGGTGTTTATCCGTATGACTATATGAATGAGTTCAAAAAATTTAATGAAACAACATTACCTGATAAAAAGGAGTTTTATAGTAGATTAGGTGAAGAAGATATAGACGATAAAGACTATGAAAGAGCAAAGCATATATGGGAACACTTTAACATAAAAAATCTGGGTGATTATCATGACTTATATCTTAAAACGGATGTGCTATTATTAACAGATGTATTTGAGAATTTTAGAAATCAATGTCTAATAGATTATGAATTAGACCCAGCTCATTATTATACATTACCTAATTTTGCTTGGGATGCTATGCTATTAAAAACAGGAATACAACTAGATTTAATATATAACGAAGACCTTTATAAAATGGTTGAGCGAGGACTTCGTGGTGGGATGTGTCAAGTATCAAAAAGAATGGCAGAAGCTAATAATAAATATATGGGAAACGATTATGATGAAAATAAACCAACATCATATATAAACTACCTTGATGCTAATAATCTTTATGGCTTAGCGATGTGTCAGAAACTACCCTATAAAGATATTAAATTTGTTGAAGGGAACTTTACAGAAGACCATATAAGAACATGGAGCGATTTAGGAACTGGATATATTTTAGACGTTGATTTAGAATATCCAAAAAAGCTACACGACAAGCATCTTGATTATCCACTAGCTCCTGAAATTATGACTGTTACGGCTGATATGTTAAGTGATACACAAAAAGATATTTATAAAGCATATCATTTTAATAAGTCACCTAAAGACGAAAAAACAAATAAACTAATATTAAATGTAAATCATAAAGAAAATTATGTATTACATATTAAAATACTTCAGTATTATCTTAAGCAGGGGCTGAAAATAAATAAGATTAATAGAGTAGTTCAGTTCAAACAAAAAGAATGGCTAAAACCGTGGATTGATTTTAACACTGAAAAAAGAAAGAAGGCGAATAGCGACTTTGAGAAAGATATGTATAAATTAATGAATAATGCCGTGTATGGAAAAACGATGGAAAATGTAAGAGAACATATTAACTTTGAATTGGTAGATACACCCGAGCGTGGTTAATGCTCCTACTTATAAACATCGTCATATTATTAATGAAAATCTGGTAGGAGTAGAAAAACTTAAAGAAACAGTTAAATTAAATAAACCCATTTATGTAGGAATGAGCATTTTAGACTTATCTAAATTGCATATGTATAGTTTTTATTATGATGTTTTGAAAAAGAAATATGATGACGATGTGAGATTAATATATACGGATACTGATAGTTTTGTTATACACACCAAAACAGAAGACATATACGAAGACTTTAAAGATATTAATAAACATATGGATTTTAGCGGATACGATAAAGACCATAAATGTTATGATGCTACAAATAAGAAGGTATTAGGAAAGTTTAAGGACGAGGTGGATGGAAAAATAATTACTCATTTTATAGGTTTAAAACCTAAATCATATACATTTAAGGTCCATAACGAGCTTAAGGAGGAAAAGAAGAGTAAAGGAATAGTAAAACATAAAGTAAAGAAAGAACTTAATTACAATAAATAGAAAGATACTCTTGAAAATAACAGCTGTGATACTGTTAGTTTCAACAGCATAAGAAGCAAAAATCACCAGATATATTCAATAAATCAGGTTAAACAAGCGCTTAGTTCCTTTGACAACAAGCGTTATTATTTAGATAATATAAATAGCCTACCATTCGGGCATTATATGATAACTCAGACATAAACCTTTTGTTCATCATCATATTTAATTTCATAATATTCCAAAGTTTCTTTTTTAGGGTATCTGATTTCTTGTGTATTCAATTTATTCAAATACACATT